CTGGAAATTTCCCAGAAATTTCCAGAAAAAAATTTTCGCAAAAAATTTCTAAAAAATTTTTCAGATCCCTACAGCTATCCTAACACTTCTCGACCTTCTTTAGCCTTCGAAAACTCTTTTAAACACTTTTTTTCTCTCAAATTCAGTAGCTTTGCTCACTGTTTTCTGTCGTTCTTGAATGTTCCAGGAGGTGCTTTATATAGGGATTGATCAGGAGTTTCTGATCAATCCCAACTCCTCCTTGGACGGGGATTCAGTCTTTGAATCCAATTGGACTCTTTAGATTGAATCCCCACTCCCAGTAGGATTCTTCAGCTTCAATCTCAACCTTCCAAAAAAATCAAATAAATATAAAAAAAATAATAGATAATTAGAACAGATAAATAAAAAGATATTATAAAAAAAAAAAAATATCTGATAATCAGAAAAAAATCAGAACAGATAATTTAAAAAAAATAATAATAAAATAAGATAAACCCAAAAATATCTTACAAAAATAATAATAATAATAATAATAATAATAAATATATAACTATATAAATAATATACATATAAATCTAATCTAAATAAATAAATACAGATATACATATATTAATAATAATAAATATAAAAATACAAAAGAAAAGAAAAAAAAAGGAAAAAAAAAATAATAATACATGATTGAATTGGGCCTTACCCATTTGGGCCAGGCCTAAATGATCTGGGTCAGGCCCAATTGATCCGGGTCAGGCCCAATTGATCCGGGCCCGGACCTGATTGGGTGTCTACACTCTTACAGTACCCATAAATCGATACCAATTAATTATACTTTATTTTCGGTATTAGATAAAATGATTTTTATTTAAAATTTAATAATAAATTTTTTTATTTTTTAAAAAATTAATTTTATTAAAATTCTTTATTTAAAAATATTGAAAAAATTTTTAAGTTAAATAATTATATTAAAATTCTCCAATATTTAAGAAAACTTTAAAAATAACTTTTTTTACTGATATTTATTACGATATTCTTTAGAAATTAAAATAACATCTTTTGCATAAGATAATTGTTGGTAACTTTTCAACATTTAAGTAGAGTACTAAAAATTATTTTTTTTGAGATGTTATTTTTATTTTATTTTTTATCTTTAAATGAAACACATTTTTTTATGTGAAAATACCAATGATGGCATTATTAGATAACAAACGATAACTGAAGGCATAAATATGTGAATTGAGTGTAATCAATAATAAATAGATGCATTAATAGATGTTATGCATAATGATGAAATGTAATTTTAAAATTGAATTCTTAAATATAACGAGATCACATTGATTTTTCAACATCTTAGCAGAGTTTTTGTGCGACTATTTATATTTAACATATCATTTTATACATTTTTATTTATTAGTTTTAACCTCATTGTTAAAGCAAATTAAGGACTCGCATAAAAATTTTAATGAAATAAAGCTTCTTAAATACCTTATTGTCTAGGTGATATTCGAAAACAAATTATTTCAAGTAAAATTTGCACACGTATCTTTAAGATTTAAAAATGATTTTTGTTAAAAACTAGGTTGAGGTTTTAAAGTTTGAATGATTTTTCAATGATTGTTCGGAGTTGTTTACTAAATTTAGGATTTAGGTTAAATTTAAGGTTTTGGTCAATTTTTCAATATTTAGGATCTTGCTTTAGGGTTTTGAGATTTTGGAGTTTTGAATTTTAAGATTTTTATTTGAGTTTGAAGGGTTTGGTCATAGGGTTTAAAGGGTTTTAGGGCTTATGGATTTTAGAGTTTTAAATATTTTGAGATTGAAGGTTTAAGGTTTCAAAATTTAAGGTTTGGAGGGTTTAAGGTTTTGATTTTAGGATTTGGGGTTTAGAGTTTTAGTTTTAGGGTTTGTAGGGTTTAAGGTTTAAAAAAAATGCAAATATCTTTAAAAATCTCTAATATCTAGGTAAATTTTTTAAACAAGTTTGAATTTTATAATTTTTAAAAATTAATTAAATTTTTTTTTGTATTTTTATTGTTTATAAAAAAATTTATTATTAGTAGTACTTGCTTTTATTCTTTATTAGTAAATAATTTCACAACTCTAAACGAAACTATTTATTATTATTATTATTATTATTATTATTATTATTATTATTATTATTTAAAAATAATTTTTATTCCCTTCATCCTTTAGGCAGGAAAATTTTTTTTATTAGTCTATTTTATAATCATTTTATATATTATTATTATTATTATTTATTAATTAATTAATTTTTTATTTAATACTTTGGTTATTATTCTTTTAAAAAGAATATATATATATATATATATATACACACATATTAAAAAGATTCAAAATTTTTGAAATTATTTTTTCATTATTCTTGTTATTATCGTTAGTTTTTATTCTTTTTTATATTATTTAATAAGGTTTATTTTTAAATTTTTTTACAAAAATTATAAAAACTTTAGCTTTATTACTCTTTATTTATTTATTTATTATTATAAGACAACAAATATTTATTTAAAAAAATTTAAAAGTATTAAATATGCATAAGTAACAATAATAAAACTAAAATAATATAAAAAATATAAAAAATTCAAAAAAAAAAAAGCTAGACTATTGATGCTAGTTTAATTCGTTCGGTTGAATTTGATCTGGTTCAACTAGATCGATCAAAGACTAATGGATGTTGGGTAGTCGAGTTGGGTGCATGAATCCCGAGTCAAATTAGGATTGATGTACGAATCTTTCTGAGACTCAAAACGATATTGTTTTGTTTCTTCCTAAATGATGTCATTTTATCATTTTTTTTAATTTAAATTAATGTACTTAATTATTAATTTAAAAAAAATTTGATAAATCCGAACAAAATTCGGTGTGTAATAATAGAACTTAAAATCATTTTGTTTTTAAGGTTAGTTTAGTTCAAAATTTTGAACGCTATAATATTCAATTTGGCATGGTTTAATTCTTGTTACTTAAAAAAAAAAAGGTTTATAATTAATTTCCATGCGCTTCAAGCTTCAAGAATCAACACAGTGGACTAGCCTATTAATTGAGCGGATTTTTTTTTTTTTTTTTTTGGTTTAAGTTGCTTGTGCCCTTAGAAGATGCAACTACTTGTCCAGGAATTTTGGAGAGTTAAAGATGAAGCTTGAAAGAAGTTTCAATCCCCAATTATTCTAATTCATAAAGTAAAACTGTTTTAATTTGGGCAATTAGGAAACCCAATCCCTACTTCATGTCTTTGACTATGAATATTGCTACAGACGCAAATGGCCAATGTAAGCCAAAGAACGAACTTTGGCTCACAATTACCTGGTGAAAAGATCAGAAACTCAGATTCAATAATTGCTTTGTTTATCGAAAGAAAAAAAAAAAAAAAGGGATTCAAATTTAACAGCAAAATGCATCATCGACTGCCAATCAGATTAATTAAGTTAAAGATTTTGTGTTTGAGAGAGGATAAAATTTTGGATTTTTCTCCACAAAAAAGGGATGATATCAGTTTAGAATAATTCATACAAAAAAGGGACGATATCAGTTTAGAATAATTCATTGTCTTTGTTACATTTTTTTAAACAATGTAAATAAAAAATCTTCTCCAACAAAAAAATAATTAATTATTTTCAATAATTAGAATTAAACACTGAATAGAATTGTGTCCAGAATATGCAATAACTCCAAAGAATCCAGCCAGGTAATGCCTGAAGCTAGCCAGCACCAACTATGTATCAGAGCTAAATCTTTTTAGGTCAAAGTAAAGGCTTACAATCACAAGAGAAACATACAGAAACATGAACCTTTCTCTCTTGTCTTCCACTAGGGAAAAAAAAAAGAAACTTCTTTCTGGCTTAAAGCTAAAGATATGTACACTTACATCAATTATTTTTCTTGTCAAAATATGGAAATATCATGTTCATAGTAAGAAATAGTTTTTTTCTAGCATATATATATATATATATTTCATGGACATGTTCAAAGAAATTTCACTGCCAACAAAACAAAGTAACAAACATTAAAAAAATGGGTGACTTAGAAACTTTCTTTGGGAAAAAAAAATCAACTTCTATCCCAAGAAATCTCATGAAAGATTTGTGAAATTTTAGGATGATAGCAAAAATCTGAATTAAGGGATCTATAAAGATCATCCCAATTGAATCCAATCATCTTTTTCAGGCTACCTAATTATTTATTATTTATATTAAGTGTTTTACTATATGAGATTATGGCATGCTTAGTGGCTTGATATTTTCAAGTCCAAAATCCCATTTTACATAAATAATTTTTTATCTTTTAAAATTTTATTTGGTTTAATTATTTGTATTAATTATTTTAACTGTGAGTGATTTTTAAGTGGCAAGATCTTTTCAAGTCAAACAAAAAAATCTCATTTTAGGTATTAATTTTAAATTTTTTTTTTTAAATTTTCTTTGAACATTTAAGACCCAAAGTTGAATTTGTCTATTCATTGTGTCTTTTTTATTATCTCTCAGAATGGGTGTTCTAATGGACCCCCCAAAACTCTTCTTTCTGTAGAAACCAAATTTATACAACAGTAACCTTACAATTATTTGAGAATATTCAATTTGCTTTTTCTAATGAGCATCCTATTCGTGCATAGATAATTATCAAAAAAACATATCTCAAGAATAAATTCTTTGTATAAAAAAAATGGAATAAACCTATACTTGCCCAGAAAAAAAAAAATCTTAAAAGACCTTCTATTTATGAGCTAAATCTAGCATCGCATAAATGATAAATCAATTAGTTGGATTTTCATTCAAATCTTAGGTAAAGTGAAATTTGGGTTCTAATTAATATTTGTAATTAAAAAAAAAAAAAAAACTAATGAAAGCATGTCAAACCAAACTTAAATTTTCAATTAGGGGTTCTATATATAACATTATTTTCTTTAATTAGATCTTCCCAATATATGAGTTTTATTCTTGAGCCGCGTTTGAGTAATGGGTATTCAATCTGTCGATACGAGTTATGACAAAATAAATATCAAGCCCTAAATGGTCAATCACGCAATTGATTTTCTTGTATCGGAAAAAAAGAAATTAATTGAAGGTCTGCCTACCATTGTCACACAAATTTTATATTGTAATTTAGATTTTCTCATTCTATTTTAAAAAGAAGAAAGTGTAAAAAGTACTAAAAACAAAATAATTAAAATTAAAAATCGCATCAACATCTCTAAATGTAGTTTTAAATCATTAGAACACAAATTTAATTAATTTCAAAAATGAAATATCAAATTTCAAACCTCTTTTTTTTTTTTTTTCTTTTAACGTGACTATATCTTTTGTAAACTCAATCTACTTGAAATCCAAGATGTTGAAAGTAGCAAATAATCCCTTTTAATTCACAATTCTCTTTATTTTTTCAAGTTCTTTTTGGTAAAAAATATATATATTTTAATCTAATGATATATACATGATAACATATGTTGTTTTGTAACTCAATCATTTGATATATATTATTCATGTAAATGTTGTTTTGTATTATTCAAGTATATGTTGTTTTCATTGCCAGCACTCCACAATAAACATATGTTGTTTTGTAAATTGAAGTGATTTTCATATAAATGAAGATAAACTATATATCATATTTTAAAAAAAAAATGTAGATTTTATTCCATAGGAAAGGTTAGTGAGATTTTTTTTTTTTTTTGGGGTGATAATATCATGTAATAATTCTCAAGCTGTTTAAAAGCAATAATGCCGAACAACACCAAACTCCATGCTATTATGGCCAACCTTTGATGTTAACCCGTCTGATCCCTACTCTACATGTCTGAGCTTGCACCCCATTGAGAAATTAGGTTGTTCTCCCCCAATCATTTTGTCTTCATTTGCCGTTTATTTAATGCAACTCTTTCCTTTTCTTTTGTACAAAAATTATGATAATAATCAATAAAAGAAAATTAGACAAAACATAAGTGACAAAGAATTATTTCAACTTTAAAAAATTTACAAATAAGACAAACTAAATTAGTAAAAGAGATTACCCGAATGGATTTAGATAAAGAATATATGAATATAAAAATAAAGCAAAATTCAACACATTAGACGTTTAATTCACTATTAAATTAGATGTTTTATAACATGATATTTAATAAATTTAAAGATTAAATTTTAATACTTTTAATAATTTTTTCATTTTCTTAAATTGCTAAATTTTTTTTTATAAAAATTTCATATGTATCACAATCACTGAAAATATATATTTAGGCACAAAATCAAAAATCACTGTTTTAATTAATCACCTTTTAATATAAACGCTTGGTCATCACTAATGAAGTTAATGAGTGACAATTAACGGATTAAATATCCTTTACTTTAGAAAATAAAGAATTGGTAATAATCCAAAAAAAAAAAAAAAAGATAAGAGCAAAGGAGAGGGTTGAAAATGAAAGGAAATAAAAAAAAAGAAAAGGAAAAGGAGGTCGGTTTCCTTACAGCCACGTATCTCCCATCAAGCTCAGTATCGGATTTTAGGTATCGGGTGTGGACTTGTTCGTGTGGAAGACGTTCCTCTTCCTCCTCTCTTTTCATTTTCTTTTTCTCTCTCGCTCGCCGCCTCTTGCTGTTCTCTCTTCTCTAAAATTCTTCACTCAAACGAAAAACAGAGTATACTCTGAGTTTTCTCTTTTCAATCAGTTCAAGCTGGCGATCGAAAACCAAGAATCCACTGTCCGTGAAATCAAGCCCAAGAACAGAAGAATCATGGTATCTTCATTCTGAAAAAAAACTCCTTTTTTCTTTATTTTTCTGTTTCTTTTTTCAACTTTTCAACTCTGCTTTTTCACAATTTTCTTTTGGTTTCTTAATCTGGGTATTACTTATAAATGCGTGTTAACCAAATGGTGTTTAATGTCTTTGGTGTTTTTGGCAGGGAGCTGGTGGGCCTGATGAAGAAGATAACAGGTGGCCTCCATGGTTGAAACCTTTGTTAAGAGAACAATTCTTTGTTCAATGCAAGCTTCATGTTGATTCTCACAAGAGCGAATGCAATATGTACTGCTTAGATTGCATGAATGGCTCTCTCTGCTCCTTTTGCCTGGTTTCTCACAAGGATCATCGTTATATTCAGGTTTCATTACTTCCTTTCAAATTCGCATTTTCTCTTTTTTTTAATCTAATCTTTTTTCATCTTGGTTTGATTTTTGGTTTTTTTTTTTTTTATGAAAAATACCATTACTAACTATTTTCCTCTTTTTTCATTTGAAATTTGTGTCCTTTCCGTTTATGGGATTAGGGGAATCCTGTTATTTCAATGCCCTTTTCTGCCATTCAGGTTTCCAACTCTGGGATTTGGCTCTCTGTCCTTTCTTGATCGAGTTTGTTTTCGATTTTAATTTAAAACAAATTTCTTTAAAGCTCTCCTCTGGTACATTTGCTTGTTTATGTTCTGTTTTTCTAAAATGTACTTAAAAGATTAAAACTTTAGTCACTGTCCATGGCAGATGTTTTTACTTTTACAAGCCTCCATAATTTATTTTTCACAGATTTTCTCAGCATCCAAACGGGCGTTGACTCAATTTTCAAAGCCCTTTCTCTGTTTTGTAAAAAGGCATTTTAGCGGAATAAAAAATGACTCCCTACTTCTCATCCAGACAATGTTAGTTTTCCGATCTAATAACCAATCCCACAAAAATTCCCCAGTTTTCTCCTCTGTTTCTAACAACAAAGCCAAATGTTTTTCTCGTGAATGAGTGTTATCTGATTTTGCATCACTTGACAGATAAGACTAAAACTCACGAAATTCTCATGGGATTTGTTTGTTATTTCTCATTCATTACAAAAATTGCACATTTATTTCGATATGCTAATGGGGTTCTCTCTGTTTTATTTTGACAGATTAGGAGGTCTTCATACCATGATGTGATAAGGGTATCTGAGATACAGAAATACCTGGACATATCTGGAGTTCAAACTTATGTTATTAACAGTGCTAAGGTTGTTTTCCTCAATGAGAGGCCACAGCCAAGGCCTGGAAAAGGTGTCATCAACACCTGTGAGGTCTGTGACCGTAGCCTTGTGGACTCCTTCCGCTTCTGTTCTCTTGGTTGCAAGGTAAATACGCTGTTCTTTTATTTTCATTTTTAAATTGATTTTCTTGGTAGTCAATGGTCCTGTTTGGTAGCTGAGAACTGAAGGTTCTAGTTTTCCAACCAAAACCAAAACGGTCAAATTGGCTTAATTTTGTTTGGTGACTTTTCTTTATTGCTTTGGGAAGTAGCCAGGAGGCCAATGTAAAACAATTTCTTAAAGAATTTATATAATTAAATTGGGTTTTCTCCTCTTATTTGATCATTATTCAATTTTTAGTTGTCCTTGTAATCAACGATAACTACCTTTGTCTTGACCCCAGAGAGGTATGAAGTTTTGAATGTGTTTTTTGTTCCATTCTGATAGTTGTAACTCCTTACATTGCAGATTGTTGGCACATCAAAGAATTTCCAGAAGAAGAAGAGGCATCTGGCCATGGCATCGGACTCTGAGGATTCATTCAGCAGCAGTAGCCATGGAAAGCTGAAGAACAACAACAAAGAAAACAACAAAGTCCGGAGCTTTAGTCCTTCAACACCCCCTCCAACTTCGGTTAATTACCGAACTGCCAAACGAAGAAAGGGGATTCCCCACAGAGCCCCAATGGGAGGACTAATCATAGAATATTAGCCATAGCCATTGTGGGTTTTTTTTTTATTTTCCCCCTTAAGTTTTAAATATATTTACCCTACTATACAAGTCATCGTCACAATGCCAACCTTTTTCCGCGAAAAGGGCCGGCATTGTCACACTCCCCCTGCCTCTTTTGTAGTATTGTGTATATAGAAGCAGCAAAACATAGAAGTGGAAAATGATGGAAAACAAGTGGAAAAATAATCCCCCCAAATGTTGAGGACTTGAATGTTACTATTAAACATAAAACAGGGTGCTTTTCTTTTCTAGAGTGAATTATACATAAGTTTTTGGGCAAAAAGTGAGATGTAAATAAGGTTTTACCTTTTAAGTGGAAGGGTAGTGAAAATAGAAAAGAACCGTGTACTCCTCTGTTGTAGGAGGAGAGAAGGGATGTTTATATGTGGAATGAAATAAGAAGATTTTACTTCGTACGTTGTATAATTGATTGCTTTCCAATTTTAGAAAGTTGTTTTGAATGGTGGTGATTAACTTCCAAACTTCCTTGTCCCCCATCTATGGTGTGTGGCACGTGTGAGATGGGGTTTGAATATCTGGTTTTGTCTAGTTTAGCACGTGTCCAACGTGCGATGGCTGTTGGTTAGGCCGCCCCTGGGCGAAGTGTGGTTTCTCTTTTTTCTTTTTGGTTTAGGGGATGTGTCAGAAAGGCGGTTTGGTTTCGGTTTCTTAGCCAAGTGGGTTTGTTCTTTTCCACACAACGTGGACCCCTCCTAATCGTGATTCAGTCCTGATCCTTGGATCTTGTAATTGCGTTTAGAATGGTTTTGATGGTGGGCTCTGAAAGGGTGGGTTGGGTGGGCCCTGACAATTCAATTTTTAGTGATTACGGTGACCACATGTCAGCACAAGAACCCTTTTAAGTAATGGCAGGCTTTTTTGATTTGTGGGGTGACGAGGCGTAGTTGGATTTTCGTGGCATTTTGCATTTATAAACCTATAAAAAACAAAAAACATGGCCCTTTTCATGGGTTGGTTGCCCTGCTTTACCGTAGTGGGTTTTGGAATTTGGAACCATTGCCTCCTTTATTTACTACTGCCCTTCTGCTGGTAAATTTTGAATCATTAACCATTTTAACAATGTAATGGTTTCACCTTTTTAGCTTTACTAATTACTCCAAATCAAAAGACGAAAAAAGCAACACTTCGGTAATAACAAATTACTGAATTAGGAGATGATAAGGATACATGACTTTGGTTCGCCCGTCCCCTGAAAGGTCTGCAGATACTGTGAGAACTGAGCAGTTAATATTTTTCTAGTTATTGTTCTTTTCTTTGTTTAAAAAAAATTGCAAATAAATTCTCCAGAGTTTCATAAAATTAAGGTGGTGAAAGCTCTGTCATGCAGGTGACTTCCATTTGGTGCACCTGCGGTCCATACATACTACACTCATACACACACTCTTTTCTGTTGTTCACTTTACGAGCTGTTAATTTTGCCAACCACATCTTAGATATATTTATCCCAAATCTTTGACCCATTTTTTGTTTTTTTTAACATATTTTTCCTACACTAATGAGTCCTATTTTTTTATCCATAAAAAGTTTTTTATTTTTACAGAATTTTTAGAAAAATATCAAATTTAGACGGGAATTAATGCTTTTTCTAGACAATTTTAAAAGGAGATAAGCGTGAAAAATTTGAAATGGTTTGATAGAAATCGAACATGATTGACATCAGCGTGACTCATTTTCGTACTAATTAGATTGATTGGTGTGGGTGTGTGATTTTATATTTATAATTTGCTTTTGTTTTATAAGAAATTTTTAACAGATAAAGGATAAAAAATATTAAAAATTAAATAAAATCTAATAAATTCATTAATAAATGATTGATTTAATTAATAAAAATTATTTTTTTAATATAAAAATTTGAAATTTAATTTTTAAAATTATTTATAATTTTTAAATATTTATCTTAAATTATCACATACACACCCCTTACATTACATTGACATGAAAATTAAACAATGTACCTAACTAAAATTTTGAAAAAAAAAATCTAATAAATGTATGAATCAAGAACGAAGATTCTTCTATAAACAAAAACAATAAATTAAAGATATAAAACATGTTATCAAAGGACACGTGAGCGTATCACTTGATTTACCTGTTTTCTTGGGACATAAACAGCTCCTAGTGGGCTGTATTTGTCATTTTTTAGATTTATTATTGTTTTATTCTTTATAACCGCTGACGCTGGAAGATTGAAGCGTATCTCGCCACCTGTGGTGTAGCTTTAAGGAATTTGGTGTGAACCGTCCACGCATCAGAAGTCGTGTTCCATGTGTGAAATCACTATTCGGCATACCATTCTTTTATAGAATAGAATGGACGATCCCCATTTAACCTTTTAATTTGCTTATTATTGGATTTTTTTTATTTAGCAAAAACGTGTCCTTGAACTTTAGTGTTGTTTTTTTTTTTAATTTTTGTTTTCTTAGGGACCATTGCTTTTGCTTTTTGAGATAATTTTGAATGGATTTTCTTTTTGCAAAAGGAAATAAAATGTGAATAAAATGACAATGAAGAATTGGGATGTTATGAAATTGATGACCCTTGTTACTCTCGATGGTTTTTTTTTTTTCCTTAACAAATATATTAAGAGAAGAAAGGCTTCTTTCAAATTTGTTTTCCTTCGTTAAAAAAAAAGAAATTAACCTTGATACATACTTAAATGAGTATTTTGAATGTCTGCATTATAATTATACAATAATATTATAAAAAAAAGAAAAAAAAAATAAGAGTGAGGAGTGAAGAGTGAAGAGTGAACTTTTATTCTGTTTTAGCTATAAAAATATTGTTTTTTTTCTGTTGGTATATATAATTAAGTTAGGGAAAGTTGGGGGTTAGGAAAAGTTGCACCTACTTTCGAGTACCTTAGGTTTAAAGAAGTCAAAGATAGAACTTGATAAGGAATGCATTAAAAGCTTGATAATATTTTGTTTAATATATTTTAGATTCTCAGCGATCTTTGAAATTAAAAATTTAATATTGTATCAATAAATAATACAATTGTTGATGATGTATAAAACCCTTCATTACATGGTTTGTTTGAGTTTGTCAAACTCTCAAATCTGGTAGCTTTGTTACACAATTAATGTTTTTTAAGTTTATGATAAGAAATTGTGAACATTAATACAAGTTCTAGGCTAGGCCCTCCCCACTAAACCAATTCTAGCTTCGCCAATCCCCAATAAGCTAATCTAATTACTTAATAACAGTAGAAATTAGTATGGTACGGGCTTTGTTAGGCTTAATTTTGAAATAAGTTGCTAATATTCAATCTATGATACAATTTTAAAGGGAAATGAAATTCGGACTTTGAAACTTAATTCTCAGAATAAAACAAATAACATTTGCTTTGGCAATTAAGTATAGATTTTTTTTTTTTTAGATTTCACCTGTTTGAAAAAAAATTAAAATTTTGAATATCTTAATATTAAAAGATAAATTCAATAATCAATAAATACGTGTGAATGCGTGTGTGTCTTCTAAAACAGGGCATTGGATTAACCTCTGTCACATAAAACGTAACAGATAGATAATAATCAGCTAATCTGTCCTTTTCTCCTTTTGCAACCACATAGCTCTGGTCGGATAATATGGAAGATAGTGCATTTTGGGTGCTGGACCTGAACCGGCAGTACTCCGTTCAATGAGGAAGTAGGTTGGGACTTAGCAGCCTTGGGTCTTGTGGTTGAGACCATGTGACCTCAAACCCATGACTATAATCACATAAAAATTGCTGTTTGTGCACATAAAACATGTTGTCCATTTCAAATGGGACTTTTCTCTGTAACTGACCATCAATAGAAAAGATAAACCAAGCTCATAATTGATTGGAATCAAATCATTAATTAGGAAGTGAAACCTCTTAACCCAAAACCATAGCAGATGTATATAAAGAATAAATCGACAAATTAGCAAAACACATTCATGATTTGGTGATTACTTTCACCTTCATAGATATATATTCTTAGTGGCTATGGTGGTGGCCATGTAGGATATCACAGAAGGGAAAAAAAAGCTTAAAATTGGCTAATGGGAATCTCACTTGACCATCTTTTCATTGCTTTTGACATGAAATGCCCATCACTCCTTTTTTCCTCTCTTTGAAAAATAAATAATTAATCCCTAATAAAACTAACTTCCCTAACTTTATATCTTGACATACGAAATGCATGATCTATGATGCAATTATGCCTTGGAATTTTGCATCCTTTAACTTGCCTTTAATACAATAAAATACACACCAAATTGAGTGTTCCTAGAAGTAAATATGGCGATGACCCCTATCTTAATCAATTTGTCTATGCCGTGATGTCATTGGTTGACTAATCCTTATCTGATCTAATGGTTACTGCCAGGATAGAACAGATAGCCATCTATCGTTCTTATCATGCCCACACTATGACGATGATGATCTTACTTCCATCTCTCCGATTGTGGGTCCACGAGCGTCCCATTCGTTCACATTTATTGGTTCATTTGTCCTTTTATCAGTTCACCAAAATATTACCTAATTTTCTCTAAAAAACAATATCATAGATGAGGTTCTAGCTATAGATATCTTAGTCCAGCTGACAATGACATGCATATTAAATCTTGGCAACTGTTTGTGATTTTTGTTTTTGGCACCATTAAATTTTGAATGTCCGAATTTCATCCACTTTAGTAAGTGCAGTAACAAAGCCAAGCGAAAATCTCCCAAGAAGTTTTTTACAGTCCTTCATTTATTAGAAGAATCTATCCAATAAATCAATGCAATGAAGTCAGTGGTGGGAATGCCTTGGCTTGGAAAAGGGAGAAACCGTTTTGCTCGATCGAAGGGAAGTGGGGTTGAGTTAAGGCTGTCCAGCGAGAGACATGATATCGAGCGAGAGATAGCTCCTGATCAATGAAAATTATGGCCTAAACGCTGTCAGGGTAATAAAATATCTATATACAACATCATAGATATATATGGTTTGCCTTGAAATCTCTGTTCATTGAAAGAGCAATTTATTAGCTAGATTTTTCTGATTTCATTGACAAGGAATTCATCAGTATTAGTAAAACTTGTTATATCATTCATATTGTTTGTATAGAAAAAATTCATCTAAATATATTCTTGTGTATGCCTCGTCCCTGTCAACTAGTTTTCCTGTCTCTTTAATGAAATTCTATATGCACTTAGTCTTTTCTCTCTCTCTCTTCAAACTTCAGGAAACCCAAAATCATCATGTTGATCAAGACAAACACGATTCCACTAGTCTTGGGCGAGGATACTAGTGGAAGAACATTCACAATTCTATAACGACAATAAATCAAATAATAACAATAATAATAATATCCAACTCAACGACAGATTTGCATTTCCTCGTGGACAGATTAAGAGATTGTTTGTAGGTGTCCATCCATGCAACAGATGGGCCAAGTAGATT